TTCACTTAACAATAATTTTGTTTATACAATTTTAAATGAATTTTCATAGAACCAGCATGGTGGCAATCACCTTATTCCCAGGGGTTATTTTCATTCATGTATTCCTTGATATTATAATAACCCTTTTTGTACAGTTTTTCTTTTATAAAACTTTTAAACTTGTTTATTGACAAACTTTGAACATGTTCTGGAATTCGGTTATAAAAGCGTATACATATAATGAATTACTAATTCTGTGGAGTTTGTTCCTAGTGTTTAAGGTATGAACATCCTTATTCTTATTAAAGCTATTTATGTTTTTATGTACATAAATTACATTTTCATAAATATATTGCGATGCCAAAGTTAATATGTTTATTTCTTTATATTTTTCACTAAGGGACTCTTTACAATTTAGATTATAAATCGCCCGTACGGCTCTCTTTTGCAAAAAAAATATAGCTTCAATTTCAGTCGCATTACCCCATAGCAAAATTCCATAAGACATTACGCTATGAAAGTAACTAAAATACACTAACCTAGCTGTCTCAACATCTGTGAGACTTCTAATCTTTCATACAGCATATGCTGCAGAACTAAGTCTGCTTGCTAATTTAGATATATGGGGGCCCCATTGAAGTTTCGCGTCAATAGTAATACCGAGAAAAACAATGGTATCCACAAGACTCAACTCCTCCCCATTTAAGAGCACATTGGTTTTCGAATGTTTTACATTAGGTATTGTAAATTTAATACATTTTGTCTTATTGCCGTTTAAGAGTAAATTGTTGGCGTTAAACCAATGTACTAGTTTTGATAGAGCATTATTTACATCGTAATATTTAATTGACTGCCGTTTCAGTTTGAAAATTAAAGAGGTATCGTCAGGAAATAATACTATATCGTGATTGTCCCCTACAAGATAAGGTAAGTCATTAATATAGATTAAGAACAGGAATGGGCCAAGAATCGAGCCCTGAGGAACGCCCATTGATACTACCGATCCGGAGGAACATTTACCATTAATGATGACTTTTTGAGTTCTGTTACTTAAATATGAAGTAATAAGTTTAAGCGCCAAATATTTTACACCGTGATGTTGTAGTTTCCTGATTAATGTATCATGATGAACACAATCGAAAGCCTTGGAAAGGTCACAGAAAATACCTAAGGCATCTTGTGAATTCTCCCAGGCATTAAAAATATATTTCATAAGCTCAACACCGGCGTCAGACGTCGAGCGACCCCTTGTAAAACCAAATTGATTTTTATGAAGTAATTTATTTGTATTAAAAAAAATTAACAATTGATCCAAAATTATTTTTTCAAAAATTTTACTGAGAGTTGGTAGTACAGAAATAGGTCTATAATTAGCGGGGTCCAATGTACTACCAGATTTAAATAAAGGTATTACTTTACTATACTTCATTAAATCAGGAAACACACCAGAATCGATACAAGTATTAAAAATAATAGCAAGATGAGGTGCAATTAAATCTATTATGGACGCAATCACTGTAACGGAAATCCCCCACAAATCTGCGGTTTTCTTTACATCAATGGTTTTGAAGTATTTTACAATATTATGCGGTAATACTTTTTCAAATCTAAATTCTTTTAAACAGGTATTAACATTCTGTTTAAGTAATGATTCGGCGACAGTTGGAGAAGCATTCAATGACTCTGTTGTCAAGATAGGAACATCAGTGAAATATTTCTCAAACACCGCTGCAACTTCTTGATTTGATTTAGTCAATTCATTATTAATTTTTAATTGATAGTTTGAATTACGAGGTTTCTCTTTACCGGTTTCGCTGTTAATTATACTCCACGTCATTTTAATTTTATTCTTAGCTGTCTTAATTTTGTTACTAATATGTAATGATTTGGCTGTGGAGCAAACTCTTTTAAACATTTTAGAATAATTTTTTACATATTCTTTAAAAGCATCGGAAAGATTATACGATCTTTCATGGTAAAGGTCATATAACCTTCGTCTGCTTTTATGAATTCCTACTGTCGCCCACTCATTAAATGCCTTGCGACTGTTTCTGGAGAATGTTTTAGAAGTGAATGTTTTATTAAATTCATTGTTTATAAAGGTAAATAATTCTCTATATAAATAGTCTGCATTGTTCTTATAAGAAAGGGATGGAAGGATTTTTAACATATTACTTCTAAATCTCTCCAGGCGTTTTGCATTAATAGGAACAAACACAATTTTCTCATTTACCTGTTTTTTGTGCATATAAAGTAACGAAACCAGTTGTCCACAGTGATCTGAACTAAGTTTTTGTATTATTGATTTGTTGATTGGTACAACACCTGTAAAAATATTATCAATACAAGTTGCACTACACCCTGCAATACGTGTAGCTTCAAAGAATAAATTATTAAGATTATAGGATTTGAACAAAGAACAGAATTTAATACTGATGGAAGAAGTTTCCAGGATATTGATATTAAAGTCTCCACACACTACAAGAGATTTATTCTGTTTATTAAGCTTAACTAAAACTTCTTCCATAATTTTTTTAAAAGTATCATAACTTGAACATGGGGGTCTGTAAACACTGACAACAATAAGGTGCTCAAGCTCAACACATGCCATTTCTACAGTACGCTCAACAGAGAGGCTCTCAATGTCTTTACGTTCTTTACATGATAAGGACTTATTAGCTAATATTAAGGAGCCACCACGTAATTTAGTATCTCTATTGAACGAACTGACCACCGGGTGATTACTGAAATTAAATATGGAGTTGTATTCTTTCAACCAATGTTCTGTAATATATAAAATATGTATACTGTTACTATTTAAAAATAATTCAATTTCTAATTCTTTGCCTAACATACCTTGTATATTTTGATGCACCAGGTTGATACAGTTTTTATTATTGTTATTTTGTAAAATTGCATAATTATGTATTGGTAAGTTGCATTCTAAGCTATTTAAATTATCTTTGCTAGAGATTACCTCTATTGTCTTATTATCTAATTTAAATTACTTGGAACTGGTTCTAAATCAAATATAAAATTATTTTGTTGCTCAAAAGAAGCAGGTGTCAAGGTAGCCAAATCATTGGCTGAGTTAAAATATAAATAATAAGATAGCGTATTTGCTACCAGTCTTAAACTATACTTTGATAGGTAATACCTATCTCTTGTCAAAAACTTCTTAGTTAAATTATTAATATCAATTAAGTGAAATTTATCATTATTATTCTTACAATTAAATGTCAAATTTAAGTTATTGTTACATGTCAAGTTATGCATCATTAAATTTAAATTATGTCTTAGTTTATTTTCCTATGGCCACCCCTCTATGTAAAGCAATGTAAACAAGATAACTTTAACCACATTTATGTTATTGAGATATTCAATATATTTTAATAATTGATTCTTGTTCATATTGCCTCTTCTCCCAACAAAAATTATTAATATACTATTAGGGTTAAATTTACTAGTTAAAATTTTATTCATAATATCACTGAATGATGCTCCAGGCATGCAGTAATTACTTATCTGTTGCCTTTTTAAACAGTTATTCAATGATATACCCAAGTTTTTGCCTATGTCATCACTATATACAATTATATTATTTTTTTCATTATATGAATTACTTTTTAAATTTATCTGCTTTGTTATGGTACTATCATAGAGTGTAGGTAAAGAAAATGAAGTATTACTGCTTGTCATATTATTAACACACACTGTACCTAAAGAACCTGGCAGTGAGCGCTGATATTCATTTTGATATTTTAATAAGGAGTCAAAACGTTCCTCGTTATATTTGCAGGACTTTATCAGATTATCCATGGCCAGTATGTGTTCTTTTATCTCATTCCCTGCACATTTATATTATAATTTGTAATGAGGTTTGAAGTGATAAAATTTCTGAATTAAGACACTTTATTTCAGTCTCATAACAATTTTTCATGTTTTCCACCTCATTTGAATATAATTTAATTTTGAATGAAGATTGATATGCAGAAGAAATAGCGTTGGTGATAGCACGCAGCCTTATGAAACACCAGCGTTAATAGGCTTGTAGTTGTAGCATGCACCGTCTACAAAGACCTTGATGCTTCGATCTGCAAGAAAGCTTCGAAAGAAGCGCTTTGTGCCAAACCCGATCGAAGGACTTCGCAATATCCAAACTAACGGCCAATGTCTCCCTCTTGGACTTTACTGCCTCCGCCCATCTATGAGTCAGTTAGACTAGAAGGTCACCAGCTGATCGACCCCGTTGAAAACCCTACTGGCGGTCACTAATCAGCTGGTGATCCTCAACGTACCTCATGAGCTGGCAGTTTATAATGGATTCCATTATTTTGGAGAACAAGGAGGATCGCACTTGACGAATATTCTCTCTTGTTATATCAATTTACTTTAAGATATGATATGGTTAATTAGTTATACTATATTTCTATTGTGTAATATATGATTATTGTATATAGGTATAAATAAATTCTAATTAGTCCATCAGTTTTATTTTTACATAATATCCCGTTTAGAAAACATATATGTTTCAAAAAACAAGTTCGAATGTGGGTAGTTAGTTTTTTTATTATATTTTATAAAAGCTACAGTTTTATATAAACAAATATATATAGTTTTATATATTATTTTTTGTTGTTTGTGTATTTTATAACTATTACAGTGCACCTGATGGTAATAGCAATTAATGGATACATGTAACCAACTTCAAATAAAGAAGGCTATACAGCTGCGTTGTCACTTCTGAGAACGAAGATGGAATGCCTTTACACCTCTTATTGTACTGACTCTCTTTACCCTTCAAATCGGTACGTATAAGTGCAAACACTGCTATTTAGTAAAAGCATAATACAGAAAAATAGTCCAACTACAGTAACTGTAATAAAGATGAAGAAAATGACTACCACAGTAATTAATATTTTGTTTTTCTTTTAGGGTTACAGATCACGAAGAAATGATATAACATTAGAGATGCATATGCAAAAACGTGTAAAAATTCTTCTGTCAAGCGGCAAAAATACATGTATGCCGAACAACTCAAATTTTTAGATCCTATTTATTGCGATCCAAACTCGGAAACTGAGCATAATATCTCGAATATTTTAAAAATTGCCGAAGACTCTCCTTCTGATAGTGACGACAATATGGGGCATTTCAAAGAGGAAGTTTTCTTAGAAGTTGGGTACGATATATTTGAAACTGGCACTAATAGATCGGAATCACAAAATTTCTTAGAATCCGAAGGTAATAATTCCAGAACTGTTGAACATAACCATACATTACATATTTTGGGAAATTTAATCGAGAAAGAAGAAGACGAAGATAGATCGTTCTTCAAAGCTGTACTATCTTCTGTGAAATCACTTTCAGAAGATTCAAAGTTAGAATTTAGAATATCTGTTCTAAAACTAATTCAAACTTTGAAAAATAAAGACAAGCAAAGAAATGCCATGAAAACAGAAATTCCCAGAATATATTTAGACGATGAGTGATTTTAACAGATTTTAGTATATTTTTTAGATTTGAATGAAATTTATTTTTTAGATTATTTTATTATTTTTATTAGAAATGAAAATATAAATAAATATGTAACTATTGTGTTTTTTTAATAAGATATTAATAATAAATGCTTTATTAATTTAGGGCTACCAACAAGTTACCTGTAACAGTACCAAAGCCGTGGCCATTACCGTTACAGTCTATCAGAAGTTCACTGCTGAACTGAACTGGCTTACCCATAGAGTTCTTCTAAAGGGAATGTTTCTATTGGTTGACAACCGCAGTTTTTTATTTCTTAATTGCTATTAGGAAGACGTTACCGCCCATCTCCTGGTTTGTTTCCGTCTGTCGCATCTTATGACTCCTGTGGGATGGTATGGGTAGTAGATTTTCTGACATTGCCACTACACGGTCAGTACCATAGCATTCTATACCTATAACAGGTATTAGCTGGCTTATCAGACATTTTGCCCTTTCTAATAGGTGTCGCGATGAGCTTAACTCAAATTTCGCTGCGGTCTTTTTATAGTGTAAGTATATAAATTATTTGTAAAAAACTCGACCACAGTGTTACCTATCGGATCCAGATTTGGTAACCTTTTTTTTTCGCACAATGAAAATATATGATGCAACCATGAGTAATTTTGATCCGATAATAAATAATTTGTTAACAACTTTATTACAACACCACCTTCAAGTCCTACCATAGCTACAAACCATCGTCTCTACAAAACAAAATATATTGTGTAAATATGACCTTTATCGATCAAGTCGTACAGAGGTTCCACAATCACTAACAGATGCACCGACGATTATGTGCAACATACATATAACCAAAACCCTGTGGTTCCAATTAAGTGTGTGTTCAAAAAAGTTAGAAAAAGAAGTGCGTTATTAGAATCAGTATATAAACGGATATAAGTAACTTTAGTTCAGAAAACTTAACCATATTTTTTTTAATTAAATTTAAATAAATATTTATTTGCAAATTGTATGTCGTTATAATACCTCTGCATTGGCCGGGGAGTAAGAGTATTGTCAAAGACTCCACTTTACCGACGCATGTGCTAATTAGAAATGCCAGCAAAATCTTATGGCTTCTTGATGGCTGTAAGATCATCTCGCGTAAAGATGGAATGTACGCAGACCGGCAACAGGCAGCAGCGTCACAAGTGCGGGACGTCTGGTGCTGTGATTATCAATCCATCTCCCAACCATCCATTAATTTCCATCCATTACATCCTGTAAAATTCAATTGCTGAACATAGACCTCCTCCATAGAGTGCCTCATTGGTGGATTTTTCCATAGTAATCACGATTGGCAGGTGGGTTGGCGACCACATTTATTTATTATTTGAGTAGTTATCAGGAAGATGCTGCTGCTCCTCTCCTGTTTAAGTTTACCACTGTCGCGTCTTATGAAACCCGCGGGACGATATGGGGTAGTGGATATTCTTACACCGTCACTACGGTTTATCCGACTCCCAACGTGACGTTGGAAATTCTCCTTACAATGAGAGACCTATGAGAACTTTTGCCTGCTCATGAAGTAAGATGAAAGGTTAGTATGCAGTGTGATAAGGATGGGTGCAATCACAAATGGATTTGAAAAATCAACATTTTAATGAATTGACGGTTACGTAGCGCAGTGGCTAAGAAACAAGTTGCAGCGCTGGGGGCCGCGAGTTCGTTTCCCACACGGAACATGTATTTATAAGGCCTACAAATAATTGTTCCGGGTCTGGATGTTTGTCCTTGTGGAATTGATGATTGTAATCTGCCTCCACAAAACAGGAGAAATCCTAGTGTTAACGTTTCTTTTATTTATTTACGTACACAACAAGATACAGAAACAGTGTTATAGTGAGTTCGTACAAAGGTTCTACTTATTCCATAATAAAATCTTACGTAAATTATGTTAAATAATACTACTAGAAAGACATAGTACTTACCATTATCCGAAGCTAACTTCGCACCAAGGCTTGGGCAGGCCGTGAGTGTGTGTAATAGTGGATGGCGAGTAGTGTACAGTGAGGTGTTAATGTGTAGGGCCTTGTCAAGCATAGGCGTCCAGCCGCGGCCGAGTTCCAGGCTGCTCCAAAATGCTGCACCGCTTCAGACTGCTTCGGCGCCGGACCACAGTCACTTTCCTCGTTCGTCACGATGACAGTCAATTAACTCTATCGTGCGATTAACTAACTTACAGAAGCCACTAACTATCGCGGGGTATAAGGTTACCGCACAAAACGCACACGGAATTTCTGGATCAAAGGTCGCTACCGTTTCGCGTGCAACAGTTAGTTCTAGAATATCAGAGGCCGCACTAGCTAATATTGCCGAATGCACTTATGCAGATTCTGAGTCAGACACAATGTGTCCCGGGGAAGCTTTCCAGTAGGGATGCGCGTCACAAATCCTAGACCGTATTTTTACTGTCCGCGCTTAATTATTCCGAGTTCCCGACAATGATGACAGCGTGACAATCGTTAGCGCTGTTTAAAGACGACTGACTGCCCTTGGGCGTTTTTCGCACGACCGAAAGTCAAACCGGTATGAATGCACCGCGCCGAGCGCCCTCTCGCGTCAATCCTTGAAAGTGTTTGGCGCGAACAATTATAATTAGTACTAAACTTAAAACCTTACAGTATATAAGGTGAGGCTGCTGTAGGTGATATGTTTAAAGAGCCTTCAGAAACAGAAACAGAAACTTTTTTATTCAATATAGATTATAAATAATATTTGTTGAAAGTCACTCTTTTGTTTGATTACTGGTTCGGAAAAAACCTCTGTCCTGGGAAGAACCAGCAAGAAACCCAGCGGGACTTTTTTTAAATAACAGCTTACAATCATGATGTTACACAAATTAACAACACAACAAATTAGAAATAGCTTGGTAGCGATCACCTCATTTCCAGGGGTTATTATCATCCATAAATTCCTTAATATTATAATAACCCTTTTTATACAAACTTAGTTTAATAAAGTTTTTGAACTTTGAGCAGGTCAAACTTTGTATATTTTCTGGAATTTTGTTGTAAAAGCGTATACATCGCCCCAAGAATGAATTACTGACTCGATGGAGTCGAGTAACTGGTACTACTAGCTTGTGTCTGTTCCTAGTATTTACAGAATGAATATCACTTATTTTTGTAAAACTACTTTTATTTTTGTGTACGTACATTACATTTTCATAAATGTATTGAAAGGCCAAAGTTAATATATTAATTTCCTTAAATTTTTGTCGCAGCGACTCTTTAGGCTTTAAATCATAAATTGCTCTTATGGCCCTCTTTTGCAAAACAAATATAATTTCAGTGTCAGCTGCGTGTCCCCATAGCAAAATACCATACGACATTATGCTATGGAAGTAGCTGAAGTAAACTAGTCTAGCTGTTTCAACACTGGTTAGACTTCTAATCTTTTTTACAGCATATGCTGCAGAACTAAGTCTGCTTGCTAGTTTTGATATATGGGGGCTCCATTGAAGCTTCGCGTCTAGTGTGATTCCAAGAAAAATGGTGGTATCTACAAGACTCAGTTTCATACATTTTGTTTTAGTGCCATTTAAATGCAAATTATTAACATCGAACCAATTTACTAATTTAGATATAGCATTATTTACTTCGACATATTTTAGTAATTGTCGACTTAATTTGAAAATTAAAGAAGTGTCATCTGCAAATAATACTATATCATGGTTATCCCCTACTATGTAAGGTAAGTCATTAATGTATACAAGAAACAGAAAGGAGCCGAGAATTGAGCCTTGAGGCACGCCCATTTGTACCATCGATCCGGAAGAGCTCATATTGTTAATGACAACTTTTTGCGTTCTCTTACTTAAATATGAAATAATTAATTTAAGGGCATCACTTCTTACACCGTAGTGTTGAAGTTTCCTGATTAATGTTTCATGGTGAACACAATCGAAGGCCTTGGATAGGTCACAAAATATACCCAAAGCATCCTGTGAATTCTCCCATGCATTAAAGATATATTTAATCAGCTCAACACCGGCATCAGTTGTCGAGCGACCCCTTGTGTAACCAAATTGATTTTTATGAAGTAAATTATTTATATTAAAAAAATTTAACATTTGATCAAGAACCATTTTTTCAAAAATCTTACTAAGTGTTGGTAGTACAGAAATAGGTCTAAAATTGGCGGGGTCTAATGTACTACCAGATTTAAATAAAGGTATTACTTTACTATGCTTCATTAAATCAGGAAACACACCAGATTCGATACTAGTATTAAAAATAATAGCTAAATGAGGCGCGATTGTATCTATTATAGACGCAATAACTTTAACGGAAATCCCTCACAGATCCGCAGTTTTCTTAACATCAATAGTTTTAAAATATTTTACAATATCTTTTGATGACACTTTATGAAATGTAAAATTCTTTGTACACACATTTACATTTTGTTTAAGTAATGATTCGGCGACGGCAGGAGAAGAATTCAGTGACTTAGTGGTCAAGATCGGAATATCAGTAAAATATTTCACAAAAACCATTGCTACGTCCTGATCTGATACAGTTAATTTGTTGTTAACACTTAACTGGTGATTTGAATTGCGAGAGTTGATCTTACCAGTTTCGCTATTAATTATACTCCATGTCATTTTAATTTTATTGGAAGCCGTCTTAATTTTGTTGCTCAAATGCAAAGACTTGGCTATGGAGCACACTCTTTTAAATATTTTTGAATATTTTTTTACATATTCCCTAAATTCGACGCTATGATTATATGACCTTTCATGGTAAAGATCATATAACCTATGCCTGCTCTTATGGACTCCTACTGTCGCCCATTCATTGAATGACTTCCGACTGTTCAAGGAGAATGTTTTAGAAGTAAAAGTATTATTAAATTCATTGCAAATAAGCTTAAATAATGTTCCATACAAAAAATCAGGATCATTTTGGTATGAAAGTGATGGAAGTTTTTTCACTATGTTACTTCTAAATTTCTCCAAGCGACGTGCATT